CAATCGTTCGATGGGCTGAATTGCACAAAACGCATGATCGCACCGGCTAGTCTGGTGCGCGTCGCTATTTATTTTTTCTGCTTATACACCTTCCTTACTTTGGCACCCTAGATCAACATGGATGCTACAACTGGCTTAGGAACAGTAAGTTCTGGAATCACTGACGACGCGTACCAGGCTGGTCCGTAAGCTATTTCGTGCTGTAGCAAGATCGCAAGAAGTCTCAGTAGCTAGAATCTGGAACTTCTGGGTGCTTGGGCCTTTCGTAGAGAGAAAAACAGAGGAAGAGGAAGAAGAGGCGGGGGACTGCGGGACAGGAATAGCTGGACGAAGGGAAGGGGAGGGGTTGATAATATCATATAAAGCAAATCACATAATTCCGAATTTTACTGAATGTTAAAATAACATCAGATGAGCCTACTTCAATATGATCCAATAATCTGTCTTCATCAAGGATGTAAGTTTCCAGTTCACCATCATATCCGCAATGCAACTTATGTTCAGTGATCACACGGCCACAGCTGATAAAATCAAATCCTGAAACTTGATTAATGGTGCTTCAAAGAACCAATAAAAATTTCCATTGCAAATTTTTATAAAACTTTTAACAATTCATAAAACTATCGCCACATCGCTTCTTTCACTGGTGTGAAATTTTTAAGCATTGCTTAGAATGAGCGAAGCACCACAAATAATGTTCATCCAAAAAATTTAGACCGTTTTTGGTACTAGGATAAGATATACACAGATTGATGGACCGAAACACCCTTTTCCTGGCTATATCATATATATTGGCGTCCTCGGAGTGGGTGAAATACGGCAAAGGACCAAACAAACTGTAATACAGAAAGATGGAAAAACGATTTTGCTCGCACTGGAGTAATGTCAGAGAAATGCTGGTGGAGTCGGATTTGATGTTAACAGAAAATCCTCTCCACCGATCAGCTATATTATATATATTGGTATCCTCGGAGTGGGTGAAACACGACGAAGGACCGAACACATCGTAATATGAAAAGATGGAAAAACGATTTTGCTCACATTGGAGTGGAAGATAGAGGATTGTTGCCGGAATCGGATTTGACGCGAACAGAGATCAGCTTTTTCCAGTTATTTTGCCTGTTACAAAAAGGAGCATTTCTCCTTAGACTAGATTCTAACAAAATTACTCAAAATCATCTAATTTTATGTTCTCTTCACGGTCAGCAAAATGAAAAGGAAATAAAAAAGTTCTACGTCGAGCTCAAATCCACATTAATCATGAAATTCACATATACGGCCGCTGTGGTGAATTTCAATGCGTAAATCGTTACGGGACATTTATATATGTGTGCTGAAAGAACTCGGATACACATATTTATCTCAGTACATATACAAACGGTTTTAATCCCCTCCTATCGATCGCTGTTCCTGCATGCGTATTCCCTCAATTACTAGCCTTTTCCTTTCGCTTATAGGGCCTTCATAGCCCTTACTGCCTTTTATTTCCCTTAACTTTGCTTTCAAAGAATTCTATTTAAGCGCCAAACCCACCTAATTTTTGAGCGAGTTTTTCGGCAAGCGTAGTTTTTCCGGTACCAGGTGTGCCAGTTATCAAGATATTCGGTGCTTTACGTGTTTCCGGTGTCCCCATTATTGCTTCACTGGATCACTTCAATCACGCGTATGTTCCAATTACGCTGAAATCAAGTTCGAATTAAACCAAAGAATGCGGGAAATGCATGTGCAAGGTGAACAATCTACACAGACCATAGGCGGATTTAGGGGGGCGATTTTTCATATCCTCTTCTCCCTTTGTCGCTAAAACTCCCCTCTCCCCTTTCCTCCTCCCTCCCTTCGACTAGCTCCTAATACATCCCTCTATCGTCGCACTACCTCCTCCTCCCTCCCTCCCCGGTCCTCAGGATCAGAAAACACGAGTGCTCTACGCGGCCCAAAAAGCAAAGGAGTTTGGAATCCCTTTGGCGGAATCCAATTTTCGCTTAGCTGCAACAGACAACAATGGTACTTACTGCAAAGTAGAAGGCAGTACGGGCCTCAAAGGCCCTGTGAGGGGATGGAAGAGGGTAGTAACCAGGGCCAGGAAAAGCGGCCAATTCAGCGAACTTATAACTATGCCAAACAATACAAGACTAAAATAATTTTTAAAAAAAACTGAAGAAAAATTTTAGAAAAACCAAAGAAAATTCTGGCAAAACCAGAAAAAACTTCTTCAATAGCACGTCATTAAATACCAGTCTGTTTCGAAAACTTATAAATTATCACAAAATGCATAAATTCGAACTTTTATTAAGTGTCTAAGCAAAAGATAACAAAAAATAACAAAGGGAAGTGAGCAAACGAAAACAAGTAGTCAATGGAGAAGAAAAATAAATACAATTAGATACAAAGAGATACTAAAAAAGCGATGTTTTTTGAAATTCACCGTTGTAATGCTGTTCAAAAACAGAAAGGATATGATCAAAAGATCATAGCTTACCCCGCTTCGGAGGAGAAGGGACCGGAAGGTGGAAGCACAGTTAAGGGAAAAAAAGGGGTATTCTCTTGCCGGGGCAAAAATACATCAAACCGCATATCTGTTAATTTTCGACCAAATTTTTCTACTGACAAGGAGTAGAAAAGAAATTTTATGAAAAAAATAAGGTTGGAAGCGGATAACGTACATCGCACATCCAGTTAAAATGACTCTTCATTTAAGCTAAAAAATTTCTGGATGCTTTGTTAAAAATTTTTAAAATTGCTAAAATTTCTAAGCAAGAAAATCGGATTTTCCTCAATTTTGTCCAAATCGCAAGCAGGTTTAATAAGGGGGGCAAATAAAGCCGTTTTGTTGTGGTGAAGATCGAAAAAATGATTGTATCGATCGAAGAATAATCCGTCTGCGATTGTACCAGTGAGACAACCAATCCCTCTACGATTCATTCATTCGTTTCGATGGTAAATTGGTACTGGCATGTTGGAGAATCAAACTCACTGCCAGCTAACTTCTAAGTAACTTTCGAAAGAGAGAACCATCGATAACTGTATCAGTGAGTAGATTTTATTGGCATCGGGGACTCCTTATCATTCGAGCTACTTATTTTTGTCTCAAATTTCAGCTTTCTAGCTTTTAACAGTTGAAAAAAAAAGACTGAAGAGTATGATCAATCAAAAAATGAATTGTCCTTAGAATGATGCCTTTTCAATTTTGATCTTATTTATTAACCAAATTGTCATTTTCGGCAAGAAATATCTAACAAATGGAAGAAGATATTTCTTTCATTCTTGGACTGAGCTCAAAAAAATCTTGTCGCTACATCTCAGTGGATTCCTTTTGGAAGTTTTTTTTCCATAATGAAAGAAAAAGCATGAAATTTTTTGCAAAATGCGAGAACTAACTCAGCTTTCTAGCTTTTCTGGTTCTCGGGTTAGTAATTTTTGTGCCAAGACATCGTGTATGTGGGAGTGAGGGATGCGTGAGGGTTGACTTTAGAGTCGTGAGGTTGTACATGAGTGCCTGGGTCTATCACAGAAAGTGATTACGAAGGGGGTGCTGTTCCAAATGCGTTCATTTTAATAAAACAATTCAAATAAATCGCTTCAGTATTAAGTTAAAATCGCCTAAAAAACAAGCATAAAGCTGCTAACAACTCAACAGAAACACGGTGAATGTGCGCATTTACAAAATACATGTGCGGAAAGAACAAAAAAAAAAAAATACAAAGCAATAAATTAACCACACTGCGCTGGGCTTTATCGATCCTCATCGGAAAAGATCACTGTTTCTTCGATTCTCTGTCGAAAAAAATCTCGGCCCCTTCCAGCCTCAACAGGATAAAAATGGCTAAAATCCAACTTTGCCCAGTCGTTTGTCGGTTTTTGGATCAGCGGTTAATTCCTGTACAGCAACAATTGCTTCATTGATTTCCGTTTGTACTTCGCGCAGATTTTCCAAATGAATTAGTCGTAGTGCCCGGACAGCTGCATCGATTGTTGCATTCTTACTCGATGCCATACCCAGGTCGAATCGATTGAGCGGCATTGATTTCTGCAGCATCATAGTAGGGAGATATTCATACGCGGATTCAGGGTGGTTTCTTGGGAAAGGGGAAGCGATTTGGGCGATTCTTCCCCTCTCCTTCCTACCCGTTCGTCACAACGTCTGAAGCCCCATTCTCCCCCTCCTCTCGCCCCTTGACCCACTAATAGAGATTATTCCACTCTTCCCTAAAACATGATTATTTCGAATTTTTAAACTTCCAGTTCAAAATGGTGAGGTTTAGTTGGGAGGAAGGGGAAGAACTGGGCAAACTGAGTGTGCCAGCTATTGTCTGCTTCATTTTCTGTATATATCTCCTCCAAGCACAGCGAGTAACGTCCCGATTAAAGCTCCAAGAATAGTAAATCCATCTGTGTTTCATGCCATGGGAGGATGGGGGAACAGTAAAATAAAGGGACTGGACATAAGTGTTATGTGTAAAAAGACGTTTAATTATGCAGTCTTTGTTTCATCCCTTAGCTGTAAACACAGACCGAACACAACATACGGGTAGGAGCGAGAATCATCAGTAAAGCTTCCTTCATGAGTGAAAAGAAGAGAAGCAGATATCGCACAAAATGTAAAAGTTTACAAAATTTTCATCCAAGGCTATATACTACTGAGAGAGGTTCCAATTTAAAAAAAAAACCTCAGGTTTTTTAAGAGGTTGCACGATTTCGAAAGGTTAACAAGATCAGTGACCTAAAGTTTAAGAAATTATGGTTTTCAGCAAAGCTGTAATTCCTACCTTCACAGCACCCGCTTCTTTATTCGCGTTTTCAATGGCATTGTTGGATAAATTTCTTTGTATAAACTAAAAATACATTAAATTACTGGGGGTTATGAACCGAAACAAGAAAAATGCATAATCGTCAAGGTCAAAAATTTCTTCAGTTTCATTCTTTACGAGAGACAGAAGCACTCGAAACTAACTTAAATGAGGTAGTAAGTACCAATAATAGTCAAGAGCCGGCATTGGCGAATCTAGTGAGGTGAGGGAAGGGAGAAGACGGGAGGAGAGGGGGGCGACACAGGTATCAGTGCTAAAAGTGAAGAAAACTCTCCTTGGCATCCCATTTCGCCCCCCTCCAGTATCCCTACTTTCTTTTCCTCTTCCATTCCCTCCCCTTGTTG